TACGGTCCGGTATACCGGAACCGAACCGTAACCTGGTACCAGAGCATATAAATCAACGTGAACTATCTAATATGCCAGACCGTACCTTGCCTACTCCACTCAACAAGTCTAGGGAGTCGCCTACGCCACACGGCACTTGGAACGTCTCAATAAAATAAATAAAGTTAAATAAACACGAAATGTACCAAAGTCTTAATGTTTCTCTACCTCTATTTCGCCTATAACCACCTGTAAATGCCGGTCAAATGCTCATCTGCGGCAAACACACAAGTACACCGAACGCACCGCCCCGCCTGTGCTGCGTGTCACAAACAACATGAATTAAAGAAAGAGGCAGGTAGAAGCGTGATCGCAAAATTCGCTCACGCTCGCTTCATTTCACCTTCAAGCAGCACAAATACACATCAACTGCTTCCATCTTGGTATCTATGTGTACATAAATGTTCCTTGTTCGAATTATAACTCTGCCTTTTGTTCTTACCTACTCCGCCCAGAGATATCTCGTGAAATCCTGCAGGAATGTTCTCTCCGTGAAAATATAAAGAGGACGACATGACTGTTTATACACGAGTAATGGGGCGCATTGCATGCCGGGATCAGCTGCTGCGGCCTCCGAGCTCCGTTTCGAGGCCCGCCAACAAGCCACAAATGCGCGCGGGCATGACGTCACACACCACACGACTACAGTGAACGATCAAAGTACCGCCGTTAGGGGTTTTCGGATCATGTCGTCCTCTTTACATTTTCACGGAGAGAACATTTCCTGCAGGATTTCACAAGATATCTCTGCAGGAGTAGTAAGGAACAGAAAGGTCAAGTATAATTCGAACAAGTAAACATTTATGTACACATAGATACCAAGATGGAAGCGGATGGATGTGTATTTGTGCTGTGAAAGTGTGAAATGAAGCGAGCGTCGAGCGAATTTTGCGATCACGCTTTTCTATACCTGCTCTCTTATTCATGTTGTTTGTGCACTCAGAACAGCGCGGGCGGGCGTTCGGTGTACTTGTGTGTTGCAGATGAGCATTTGACCGGCATTTACAGGTGATTATAGGCGAAATAGAGTAGAGAAACATTAAGACTTTGGTACATTTCGTGTTTATTTACCATTATTTTTTTTTATTAAGACGTTCCAAGTGCCTGTGGCCTACGCCTACTCCCTAACCCTAATCATATTAGATATTACCAGGGTACGTTCCGGCAGTACCCTGGGGGACATAGACCCTATACTATATGAGCAGTACTATATACAGTAGTATAGTATAGACTATTGCATGGCATTGCATTTGAATATATATATAGCCATCGAATAGGATACATACTGCTATATAGCATATACTCACAGTGTCACACAATCATTGGCCGAATGTCTGTCTCACAGCCGGTTACGCAGTTGCTTTCTAATAATTCTAACACGATATGGAGACAGCTGATAGTGATATGCCTACAGCTGATCGTGATACAGTACACCACTGTGTGTGCTGCATGCTATCCCGCACTACACTACTGTGACTATACACAGCACCCGAGCAGTGCCACCGCACTGCCCTGGCAAACTAAGTCTCCTTGACCTTGGTTCTTTACAGCCAATGCAATTAATTACACCGGCATAACGATTACCGTAGGGTACGTACCGTCGATACGCTTCCATAAAGAAACAGAGAGCGTGTACCGCACTCCGCCTCAACACTAAAAATAGTGGCTAATAAATTATCATAAACACAAGTTTTCTTCCATATTGGAAATATGAACCGCAATCTGACCGGTCACCGGGCGTATAGCAACCAGTACAGTTTGTGTGTGTGCGCGCGCGCGTGCATGCGTCTGTGTGTGCGCGCGTTTGTGTGTGTGTATGTGGCCGTGACTCCGAGCAAAATAAAATTGTTATTGCGCTCCGTTTGACTTTGTAAATCGATTGGATTGATTTTCATAGATTTAGATTTGTCTGAGGAACGGTGGAAATTGTGTTAGCCATCATTTCTACGATTGACATTTATTGATTGACGTAACGTTATTGATTGACGTAACGTTATTGATTTTTTGCTGCTGAACGGACGCAAGCGGAAGTTAATGAAGAAAGACAAACATAACACATAAGATTATACTATCAACCACAATGCGATTTCGGTGTGGAAATTTGACATTCATGTTTATTTTACAAGACAATACATGAAATTTCTGCTTGCTCAAAGTCAAGATACCCTTGTATTACACATGTGGCAACATTCGCAGCATTGATTGTTGAAAATCGTTACTACACTTATAAAAAAAACTACAATAAACATAAAAAACTTAGTAAATTATTACAAACACGTCATTATAGTAACCGTTACACAAAAACATTGTGTTCTAGCCTGGAAGGATGCTGACATCCTGAAGAAGTATTCCATGAGGTGCTGGGCACTTGTTATAACCAATTTTTTTGCCGTGTGGAAAGTTTGACTTATGTTATAACGAAATGCGCTCTATTTAAGAAACAATGTAAAAACAATGTATAATATTTCTCTGGTTAGATTAGATGGAGCGCCTTTGGTTATACATTGTTTTTTACATTGCCATTGTGTTTTCGTGTTGTGACGTTGCACCGCGCTCGGTGCAAAAATTTCCCACTATTTTAATGTTTTTGAACGTAGAATGTGAAAAAAATGAAACTGAAAAAAATAAATGGCCCATGCAACGTGTCATGATCTGTAGAATGTTCGTACCAAGTTTGGAGAGGATCCGTTGAGCGGTGCGGAACAGTAAAGGCGGAAACACATACACACACACACACACAGAAAATCTCCAATTTATAGTAAGATAGAGTAGAGTAGTATGAGAAAAACAATATAGAGAAACTATTTGTAAGCGCGAAAACGCTATGCGTAAGAGCATACGCGATATTATTATAACGTAGAGTAGAGCATAAAAAATTAACGTACCGCACCCGCGCGCGCGTATAAAATTATATTTTCGTGGTGAACTGCGTGAAAACTGAACAGCACCCGTATCACGCTCTCGCACTCTGCCTACTTGTTCTCTGATCGGGGGCGATCAAAAAAAATTCAAGGGGGAGTGATGTAGCGATGCTGCGGGCAAGCTAGCATCGCACATGCTCATTAATTATTCAAGGCACCTAGGAAGCAGAGGTGTCGCACACCGAGTGTGCAGGGGTGTTTAATAAACTGACCGGATAGCGTCGTCGACAGATGGAGTGCGGAGAGGGGGTCACGCGGTGCTCGCGAAGCGGCGATCGCAGGCCGCATAAGAAGGCGGTCTGGCGAAGCTCAGGAGGTGAGAAGATAATGCCCGGATGTCGGTCACAAAGGCCGGGCTAATATAAAAGGCGCGCCGCGCTTGGAGCGGGAGAACTCCTCTCCCCATTGTTTCACCCGCCAACTGTCCGTGTCGCACGTATCTCCCTGTTGCCGTTTGACTTACCGTCGCTTTGCCGTTGTGTTATAATGGCTTACAATATATGTGATTGTGGTACGTTACTCCTCTAGTTCGTATTTGCTTTGCGTCTTGCGCTACCTTATCGTTACCCGCTACACACTATACGATCACGCAAAGTACAACCTTATAGTAGTAATAGTACTAGTGCTGAGAGGGTCTATGTCCCCCAGGGTACTGCCGAAACGTACCCTGGGTACGGTCCGGTATACCGGAACCGAACCGTAACCTGGTACCAGAGCATATCAATCAACGTGATTTATATGCTCTGCTGGAACTATCTAATATGCCGGACCGTACCTTGCCTACTCCACTAACAAGTCTAGGGAGTCGCCTACGCCACAGGCACTTGGAACGTCTCAAAAAAGAAAAGAAAGGTAAATAAACACGAAATGTACCAAAGTCTTAATGTTTCTCTACTCTATTTCGCCTATAATCACCTGTAAATGCCGGTCAAATGCTCATCTGCAACACACAAGTACACCGAACGCCCGCCCGCCCTGTGGGTTAAAGGATAGAGAACATGGGTCCCAATAAAACCAATGTCATTTACATCAATATAAATATAAAATATAATATTATAT